GTGTGTGTGTGTAGAGAGAGGAGGTACGGTACATGGTAGAAATGAAATGAATGGATTAAGAAAAGAATAAGATGGTGCAACCACCAAACTAAAAACATCACCCTCCATTAACAGAATTCTTCTAGTGAAGTGGACGCAAAGATATCGCTCTTTTTTATTCAACTCTCTTTTATATATCTTTCCTAAGCTTCATTACACCTTTAAGTGTGTGTTTGTGTGTGTGCATGCATGTGGTTTTTATCGAATTAGGGTTTTTGAAACATTCAAGATCATATATAACATCCATGGAGATGATGAAGATGGAGATGGAGGAGGAACTGGTGGTGAGAGGGAGGGTGGAGATCGATATGCGGCGACCATTTAAGTCGGTTAAAGAAGCTGTCATGTTGTTCGGAGAAAAAGTCTTGGCCGGAGAAGTCTATGCCGGACAGAAACTCAAACAGGTTAATTCACTTCTCTCTCTCTCTCTCTAACATGGTATATATATATACACATGTCAAGGACTGTTTTGTGCCTGGTTATAGCCATTTGGACAAGCTATGTAATGGTACAAGGATCAAAGCATAGAGTATAATCCTAAACAACAGCTTATAGCTTAATGACATTCCAAAGATCACCTATTTCTCATTCCTACAGGTTGATTTAGATACACAATGGAAGTTGTAAGTTAGTCCTTTAGAAACTGGTTTCATGTCGACTGGAGTTATATACAATATAAAGAATTGTCTGATGAAAAATTAAAACTTGGTGAGAAGAAAAAAAGCCCCGAAGTGACCCGGCCGGCCGGGCCGGCTGCTCCAAAAGCAAGCATAAAAGACGACAGACAATACTGTCCAAATGGATCAAGTAGCAACCGGCCTCTGTGCATGATTCCCCCTCCATATATCACACTTACACTACCACTTTCACAACAGTAACAATATTCTGAACCGGTCAAGAAAACAAAGAAACATGGATGTGGGATCTGCAGCAATGGCGTTTGGTGGTCCGGCGGTGGCAGTTGCCGGTGGTCTTTCTTTCGTTTTGCTCAAAACTTACCTCTCTCATCAACATGGTAATCCCAATCATCTCCCTGCTATTCCTGGTACGTCTCTGCTCTCTTGTTCATATCAAGTTTACATTTCTTTGAAGTCTTGAGATGTGTATAATAAGGAAATGATTACAGAGGTACCAGGTGTGCCATTGTTTGGGAATTTGCTTCAGTTGAAGGAGAAGAAACCATACAAGACTTTTACGAAATGGGCTGACACTTATGGCCCTATTTACTCCATTAAAACTGGAGCTACTTCCATGGTTGTCATCAGCTCCAATCATCTTGCTAAAGAGGTAATACACTCATCTTTTCTTTATATTCAGCTACCATGGTTATTAACTGTGACATTATACAATGCCATAGGCTTTGGTGACCAGATTTGATTCCATTTCCACCCGAAAGCTTCCGAATACATTAAGGATCCTCTCGGCCGATAAAACCATGGTCGCACTGAGTGATTATGACGACCATCACAAGACTCTCAAACGCAACGTACTCACTAGTGTCCTCGGACCAGCTGCTCGGGTACGTGATCGAAATGTTTGTTTTTTAATACAGCTAGCGGATGCTGGTTTGATTATGCTAACTAATCTTGTTATCAGAAGAAACATCGTATCCATAGAGACACCATGGCGGAGAATCTTTCAGACCGATTTCATGCCTTGGCTCCGAAATCTTCTCATGAAGCAATAAACTTGAGGGACATTTTCCAGTCTGAACTTTTCTCATTAGCACTCAAACAAGTGAGTTTTTCTTCCTGAATTTAGGTTTGGTAAACCTTCACTTCTTTAACATGTTATAATAATTCAGTGAGCATGGATTGTTTTGCAGGCAATTGGGAAGGATATCGAAAGCATTTATGTGGCAGATCTCGGAATCACCATGACAAGCAAGGAGGTCTTTCAGGTTTTGGTGATTGATCCGATGATGGGTGCCATAGATTTGGACTGGAGAGACTTCTTTCCGTATCTGAAATGGATCCCCAACACCGGCTTCGAAAAGAAAATAGAGCAAATAGTTAACCGAAAAGAGGCTGTGATGAAGGCCATGATTCAAGAACACACGAAACGCGTACATTCCGGGGAGGTAAACCATAGTACGATTCCATAATTCTCATTACTTCAAATCAACACACTTATTAACCGGATATACGTTTTCCCCTTAAAATAGAGTCTGAATAGCTACATCGATTACTTGTTATCGGAGGCACAACCATTAACAGAGAAAGAACTGCTAATGTCCCTTTGGGAACTGATCATCGAAACAGCAGACACCACTATGGTCACCACAGAATGGGCAATGTATGAACTCTCAAAAAACCCAAAACAGCAGGATCGCCTCTACGACGAAATCCGAAACGTTTGTGGGTCGCAAAAGATCACGGAGGAGAAGTTGTGCCAGATGCCGTACTTATCAGCCGTTTTTCATGAAACACTGAGAAAGCATAGTCCTATTTCGATAATCCCATCACGATATGTGCACGAGAACATAGAGCTTGGAGGGTACCATGTTCCTGCTGGGACCGAGGTTTGTTTTAGATCAATCATCATCAATAAGATGCATTACTATTACGTATGCATGTTGTTAAAACTTGATGTTTTGCGCGCAGGTTGCGATAAACATTTATGGGTGCAATATGGAGAAGGAAATCTGGGAGAATCCTGAAGAGTGGAACCCAGAGAGATTTCTTGCAGAAAACGATCCAATCGACCTGCAACGAACGATGGCGTTTGGAGGGGGAAAACGAGTGTGTTCTGGGGCTATGCAGGCGATGTTGATTGCTTGCATTGGTATCGGGCGAATGGTTCAGGAGTTCGAGTGGAGACTGAAAGAGGACTCGGGAGAAGATGTGAGTACGGTTCGGCTCACAACGCAAAAACTTAATCCGATGCTTGCGGTTATAAAGCCCAGAAAGTAATTATCTGGAAATACCGGTAATTATCGGGTTAATTACAATCTACTTGTATTATATGTTATAAGTGTTTTTGTATGTTGGAGAATATGTTTTTTTTTGTTGTTTCACGTTCCGAGTTCCTTGCACTACGACAAAATTGAGTTTATAGGACACCTGTAATCTCTAAGCGTCTCAATAGACCGCTTTATAGGACTTAATTTATAGGATCAAAATATAAAGCGTCATATCTAAAGGTGTTGTAATAAGTTTATATGACGTTTTGAGGCGTCTTAACAAGTTTTTTAGAACATTTTTAATGCAAAGTGTCGCATTAGCAACTTTATAGAACACTTTTGAGAAAATGTTCTATAAACTCGTTTTTTTATAGGACAGTTTTCCAAAAAGTATCATATAAAGTTGATAATGGGACGCTTTATATTAAAAGTGTCCTAAAAAACTTATTACGACGCTAAAAAATGTCATATAAACTTATTACAACGTCTTTAGATAGGACACTTTATTTTCTTGGTCTTATAAATTAAGTCTTATAAAGAGGTCTATTAGGATGCTTTAAAAATTAAGAGTGTCCTATAAACCCGATTTTGTTGTAGTGTTATGCTTAAATTATGGCTTCCCATTTAAATTCCTAAATTAGTAATTCCTAATTAAAATAGTAAAATCTTGCATACATCGTCATGTATCTCAGTTTAGATATGAGGTAATGTTGTGACTAAAATTAGGGGTGGTTTGCGGTACGGTTTGAGGTTAAATTGTAAACCGTATTGTATATGTGGTTTCAATATTTTTCCAAACTGTAAACCACACGTATATATCTCAAATCGCAAAAACTGTACTGTGAAATACGGTGCAGTTTATGCAATTTGTACCTCACACACTTTACATTACAATCAAACTAGTTGTGTACACGCGCAATGCGGCGGGAGCCATGAATTTTAACGATTTTGACGTTCCACTGGTTTTATAAGATAAGATTTAACGATGATATAAGTTACACTTGGTCTTTACATATTCATACAATTTGAATAAATAAGAGTTATGGTTCCAATTACAGACTACCGATGGAAAAAATTGTATGACAGTTTAAAATCCAATATATTTAAAATCCAACATATTTAAACGACTCCACAAATGTGTTCGATTTACACCAAGAGCAAATGAACCCAGAAACTTGAGTTTTAAGATAAACACTCAAAACCAATAAAGAAAACTACAAATTTCACAGATCATAAGCCATGAAAAGACAAAAAAAAAGATGAGTTTTAAAATGAAATTTCAACTACTTACCCTCTTTTTTTGTCCAAAAACTCAGATTAAGATTGAATTAATATATGTATATATATTTCAAAAAAACTCAAGAACATATTATTTCATAACATATTATAAAGTGCAATTTGGACAGCCTAACCCCAAAATATAGTATATATATAAATAAATAACTATAAAAGTATAAATCGTAAATATTAAAAATACTTTTTCGACGTATATATAATATATAATAATATAATTAAGTCAAAAAATATTCAATATTGGACTCATTTCGAAGGTATTAACGAGACGATTATAATGGTGTAACTTGTTAAAATAAAAATGTATTTTTTAAACATGTYTTAATTGATATACGATTGTGTATGTTAATTTGATAAATGTTTAAAATGAAACATTTAAAAGTAAAGAACGTAAAGTAAATTAATTAACTAATTATAGGAGTATAAAGTGTAACTTTAAAATTATAATTTTAACAAAATCGGTTGTGAGAGGGTGAGTGTATGTGAGGAGAGGAGGGGGTTAAAAAGTGAAAAAAATGAAATAATAGTATTATTTTGGTCATTTAGTATTTTAAAACTTTAAAACTTTAAGACTTTTGCTAAATTTGTTTAATAAAATAGTATAGATAATTATAAGATTAAAAGTTTATTATAAAATCAACCATAACGTTACCCTATTTCAAACAAATAAAAAGTTCAAATACATTCCATTTCCAAATATATATTAGATATCAAAAATAGTGTAAAAAAACTAAAAATATTATATAATTAAAAAGGGTCTAAGAAAACTAAAAATATTACATAAGTAAAAGTAGTCTAAGGGGTCCTTTATCAAATACTTACCTGGTAAGCGCTTACCAGTAAAATTTAACCCTATCTTTGACTTACCGGGTAAGATTTTAGTCTACCAAAATGGTATCTTATGCAACAATTTACCCGGTAAGCTCTTACCATGGTAAGAGTTGTCGCTCTCACTTACGAGGTAAGACTCTTGGTCTTTATCTCACTCTTACTAGGTAAGAGTAAAAATACTAAAAAATCACAATTAAAAGCTTCCATTGTCTAATGGATAGGACATAGGTCTTTTAAACCTTTGGTATAGATTCAAATCCTATTGGACGCAATTTTTTTCCAGATATTTTTTTAGATTGGGATATCAAAAAATAAATTTTGAATGATTTGAATCCAAAACGTTTGAGTACTCTTTTTATTTTATTGAAAAAATTATTCAAAAGGCATATTTATCCGCTAAGATAGTGTGATTTGGTAAGCACTTACCCGAGCAAGCGTTTGGTAAACAACCCCTAAGATAACTAATAATATTACATAAAGTAGCCTAATTATTATATATTGTATAATTTATATAAATATAGGGTATATTTCAAATTCAACCATGTCCATTTGTACAAAACAATGCAACCCAATTAATTGAGATATTTATTGAAATGATGAGAGTTTATTTATTATGATTTGAATATTTATGGAAGATAAATAGGGTTCATTAATTATGATCAATACTTTATATTAGGAAACAATCAAAACTTATATGAAATCACATATTAATCAAATTAAATGGACGATTGAGATTGAGTTGTATTGATTGAACAAATGTAAGTGGTTCATTTATCTGTTTGGGTTTTGCTTTTGGGTTTTGTTGATTTTGTATTGCTTTCCTTTAAGAGTCGTCCCTCGCTTCCCTTTAATCGTTCAATCGGCCTTCCCAATCACCGCTTTCAATCATCGCTCTCCATCTGCTATTTCAGGTATTGTTTTCATTTATCTGTTTGGGTTGATTTTGTATTGTTATTTACTGATTTCGTGAGAAAATCTTAAGCCTATAATTTCTGTTTACATTGTACTCCATTGGCAAGAATATGTTTGGGTTTTGCTTTTAGGTTTTGCTTTTAGGTTTTGTATTGCTTTCATTTATCTGTTTGGGTTTTGCTTATGTTTTGTTGATTTTGTATTGCTTTCATTTATCTGTTTGGGTTTTGCTTATGTTTTGCTTATGTATGCCAAGTGTTTGTTAAAATGCTTCATTTACTGATTTTGTATTGTTATTTACTGGTTTTGCTGTTTGGGTTGTACTCCATTTCTGGTAGGTCATATAAGCTTAATTTAATTGCAGAGCTTCTTTTACTGCTTACCTTTTACGTAAGCATCAGATTTAGTATGTTAGCATAACAACTTTGATCTCTATTGTCACCGGATGGTAAATTGTGGAAGCATAATTGTCTGTAAATCTTCAAATCCTCAAATTGTTTGTTTCATCTATATCAATTATCGCCAATTTCCCTTTCAAAAGATTTAAGACAGAATTACTTTTTTGCAGATAACAATCCACGATAGCATTGATTCAGCTTGACTAATAATCGAACACTTGAGCGACAAATGTATGCATTTTTGGTGTTAATTTTGCAACCAAACCCAATCAAACATTGCATGTGAGCTCAAATTACTTTCTGATACAATGGATTATATACATGATTTACAAAGTATTTCGGGACAAATTCATATCCTTAATATATTGTTTACCCGTTGAGTATGAGTGCAAACAGAAGCAGGTTGAAGTCCGAAAGGAAATGCAAAGTTCCTATCTTTTGTTTATTCATCTGTCTATGAGTTCTATATTTATATGAATTTTCATCGACTTATATTTGTAAGTATGGATCTCAAGGGTTGAGGGTGTTAATGGTAAACACAGTTTATCAGTTATGCATTTTGGTTTTGATGATTTGTTCATTTGTTAAGAACTGATCTAATTTGATCATGGATTTGGTGGCATAGTCTGAATGAATTAGTTTAACATATGGCACAACCTCTTTACATTAGATTAGGTTTAGATTTGGTGGCATGGTCTGAATGGTTTAGTTTACTATATGTCTTATCTGTACCTCTGGTTTAAGCTTGTGAAACATGAGT